ATCAAAAAGCAACAACCAAAAAAATAGATACATAAAAAGTAATAAAAAAGAACAGCGTTGCGTTTACATTTTAAACAATGCACCACAGGATATGAAGTATAAAATTGGTGTGTAATAGAAGATAAGAACAACAGTGTAATAGTAACGAGGAAAGGAAAACAAAAACTAATGGGACTATTTGTTAGAGTACCGCAGTAAGTTGATCGTTTCATACGTAACGGATTTCTCATCACATAACAGCTGTGCCAAATATGGTATTGTGGAGTTTTGTATTTGGTGGTCCTAGCATATAGCCGCCTATAGCTGCTTCTAGTTCTACCAGATGAAATACAAGGAGACAGCTGCGTATAGAGAGAGAGGATTCTCGGTGTCTGACAATATTGTATTCGCTAGTTTCTTACATGACATTATATGTCTATCCACAATAGTGTTAACCAGTTGGTTTAACGATATCCCACTTTCCCTACCAACGGCTTTTAGTGCCCTTCTCAGCAGAGCAAAGTCTTTCTTAAGTAGTCCAGGAAAGATTAATGGGGAGCAGTAAAGAGGGATGCGTAGAATACAAAAATTGATAAACTGAGAAAACAAAGAGTGCCATATGCCAGGCTGCCTAAATTTCCTAACGTCGAACGTTAAGCGAAACATCCTTCTAGTAACTAGCAAGATGTAGGAGGATCAGGAAAGATCGGTGGAAATACTCAGTCCAAGGTACTTGACATTAGATGTATTTACAACCTGTATTCCGTCAATGATAGTGGGGCCATGTGAGCTAACTAGTTGCTGTAGGTCACGTTTACGTCTGAAAGTGAAAATGACTACCTGACATGTAGACGGATTAAGCTCAAGACCGTTTGATTTGTTATTATTCAAAGTCATTCTGCAGGTCGTCAGTTTCCGCTAGCTGTTATTTACTGTAGTCAAAAACACTGCTTATCATGTGTTCATGTAACTTGTAAATTCACCTGTCTCATCATTAAAATGAATATTCTTCACTCAATCTTTATTTTTGTCTTCTAAATATCTAAATATGGAGAATTTAACCACCATATAGAACAATTTAAAGAATGCTAATCTATGCCAGCAGAAATGTATACTCCGCCAATTCCAGATCGATAAACTTTCATTTTTCGTAAGCGGCATATGATTGGCTACCGTTTTCTGTCTTCATTCATATCCGAAAGAAGCAATCATACACAAGGTCATTTTGGCCTGTAATCATGCTAACAATAATATGGAATAATAGGCCGATGATAAGCTTTACCCTTAATTATACCCAGTTCAAAATTGTGCCACTAGGATACGCATGAGTTAAAACAAAAGATTTTTTTATGCACTAGGCCATACATACTCCTAGCTATAAAATCATAAAAAGATAATTTTATGTGTTTAACTTTGAGATCGGAGAAGTTAGACTTTGGACATCCAACTTAGCGAATTACTATATCCTTTAATTCCTATTGGAACATAAGGCTTCAGCTGCGCATCTCCATTGCCTTCGGTTTTCTGACAACTTTTTCACCCCGCTCCAAGTCTGCCTACATGCTTTCATCTCCTCTTCACATGACCTCCTCCAAGTCACCAGCGTACTGACGATCAACTCGTCGCTTCCCTTTCGGGTTCCACTCGAGTGATGGCTTGGCATGTGATGTCACTTGATGGTTTTCTCAGAGTATGGCCAGCCAATCCGTCTCCATTTCTTCCTGCCTATTTGTTTCACAATCGGTTCCTGGTTGGTTCGCTCATTGCCAGAGATCCCTGTTGCTGATCTTTTCTGGCCATCTGATCTTGAGTATTTACCGAAGACAACTGTTAATGGAAGTCTGAAGTTTGTCTGAGATGTTCTTTATGACGCGGTAGCCAAGTCTCTGATCCGTATAGTGACTGGCACTGACTTGACATTGGATTTGAAAATCCGGAGGTTATTTTTGATTCTGAGTGCTGTTGACCTCCACACAGACTTAAGAGTAATGAAAGCTTGTCTTGCTTACCCGATCCTTGCTGCTTTGATATCCTCGTCAGTTCCATCCGCCTGTAGTCGAAACGATGCTTCCCAGGTAGGTAGATGAAGAAGGTTGTTTCTTCCAGGTTCCTCCCATTTATGCTGGCTGATTGTTGTCTGTTGTTGTTGTTGCTGTGGTTGTTGGTGTTGGCCAGGAATCTTCATCACCTCTGTTCTATCTATGTTCACCTGAAGTCATATCTCCTCTGGATGTTTCTTCTATGAACTTGTTGCGTTTTACTTGCATATCTTCCAGTTTGTGGGAAATCAGACATATATCATCGGCGAAGTCCAGATCCTCCAAGTTCGTTTTTTGTGTGAGTCCATTTTATGCCTGTTTCCTCATCTCCCGTTGTCTGTCGCATTATCCAATCTACCGCGATCAGGAAGATCATCGGCGATAGTAGACAGCCTTGCCTCACTTGGCGAATTGGGTTTGTAATATATCCTAAAAACGATGCTTATTGTAGTCCTTCTATGTTCATGTAATGTCAGAAGTAACGTACGTACGTTACTTAGATATGTAATATTAAATTATGCATCAGTAAAATTTTTATGAGGTAGTTATTCGGACAGCTTCGGTGTTCTTACTATTCTTTGATAGTAAACGTCACTTTACAGTTTGTTAACGGTATAATGCCCCCGAAGGTCGTTCCTGGTAAAACCGCTAAGAAAGCCTAGTTGCCTAAAGTTGACAAGAAGATGAGGAAAAGGGGGAAAGAGAGGCATACTATCTACATCTACAAGGTCCTCCGTCAAGTTCATCGCGACACTGGTATCCTGTCGAAGGTAATATTGTAACGACAGAAGACAAGGGCCAGTCAACAGATCGTTTATTGAGAAAATCAAGAGATATTTACAGATTTTTATGTACATTATTTTCAGCAGGGAAGCAACGTCCTATGATTGGTTGTTTTCTTGTTGAAGGTTATTCTGTACTGCCTGTGATCGTTTCTTAGAGAGTTAAGCCATATATCTCCGAATCATATTTGCACACGTTAAGTCTGCTGCGATTGGTTCTTGAGTTCCTCAAGGTTAAGCTTTGTTATTGTTATCCTCATGACCCTGATTCGTGATGTAACACTAGCGTAAATTAGTGTCTACGATTTTGGCTTGCAGCCATCCCTCACCACAATATCAGTCATGAACTCATTTGGAAATGATGTCTTAGAGCGTATTGCTGCTGAGGCCAGCCGACTTTCAAACTACAACAGGAGTGTGGTACGTTCTGGTGTTTTAGGAGTTAAGAGCTGCTTACTGAGTTCTTATACCAAGATGTCGAAACGCTCTGGCTTAGGTGTAGTAGACCACAAATGAAGAGTTATCCAAACCTGGAAAGTTATCAAAACCATCTTCGGATAGTGATGAAGAAGGCTATGATAAGGACTGTTTCTGACTGCATGAAACACACAGAGTCGGTGCCTGGTTATCTCATGTGTCATATTTCCCAAGATCAAGGAGCTAAAACGCTAAAATATTTGAGAATAATCGTCTTTTCCCTGATTTTGGAACATTTCGTGATAGCGCGTCTCTCAACAAAGTTTTCTAGCTTATACAATAGAACCTATAGATTGCTTTCTTGCATTCAAAGCAGAATAGAATAAATTTGGTCCTTACAGTTCTTCAAGCTTCAATGTCCAACATATAAAATGACAGTTTTATGATTTCATGCTGCTCTATGAGGTCTATTGCTTCAGGAATTCTACGTCTTTGCTTTTGTTCAAGTGGCGTTCACTCAAACTTACGTGATTTTGGATAGCCTATATAATCACCCCAACAGGCATAAACTCACCAATGACTTTTCAATACCAAGCCACAGCAAGGTAGTAAAACCAAGTAAATACCACTATGTCTAGGAAAGATAAACAATTATCTTCTTCTTTTACATATGTAAGTGATATGCTATTCTGAACTTCATTCATTCGATTTAAAATTGAAGTGGCAGAACAAGGCTTATCAATGATGACTACGATATCATCTACATACTTTCTATAAAGTGGCACATTTTTTCGATTAAATCCTCCGATAAATTCTCAATGTACGACATATAAATATCTGCTAAAAGGAGCCCTAACGGACTGCCCATAGCAACACCATCAACTTGGCGGAAACAATCGCCTTCAAATGTAAACCTAACATTGTTGGTACATAAAAGTAATAAATCCCTTAACTAAGATATAGGGAACGGGATGAAAAAATTGTTTGTGGAAATATAATCACACAAAATGTCAACTGTTCTGATCAAAGGCACATTAGTAAATAACGAGTTTACATCAAAAGAGTACATATTCTTGTTCATAATATTTATATTACTATCGTCAAGATCATCAACCAATTCAAATGTATCTTTTAACACATACTTACAGAATTGTGTTTTGACTGGATTCAATAATTCTACTAACCATTTAGCAAATTTATGCGTTGCGGATTTGCACATTGACAATATAGGACGTAGAGGATTATTGGGTTTATGTATTTTTTTGGCAACCCATACATATGTGGGAATTTACAATCTGATGGTTTTAATTAGTTAAATTTATCTTTACTTATAGCATTTAGGCCATGAAACTTCAGTAGATTAGCTGTCACTGTGCCCTGCCACAACTGAATATCTCCTGGGGAGGGATCACGGCTAAATTTGCTTTTATCATCAAGAATAGACATCATTTTAGATTTGTAGTCACTTTTATTCATAATGACGACTCCAGAACCTTGTCTTTGATCAAAACAGTAACATTTTGTGTGATTATATTTCCACAAACAATTTTTTCATCCCGTTCCCTATATCTTAGTTAAGGGATTTATTACTTTTATGTACCAACAATGTTAGGTTTACATTTGAAGGCGATTGTTTCCGCCAAGTTGATGGTGTTGCTATGGGCAGTCCGTTAGGGCTCCTTTTAGCAGATATTTATATGTCGTACATTGAGAATTTATCGGAGGATTTAATCGAAAAAATGTGCCACTTTATAGAAGGTATTTAGATGATATCGTAGTCATCATTGATAAGCCTTGTTCTGCCACTTCATTTTTAAATCGAATGAATGAAATACCACCATGTTCATGCGGAAAGTTTTGAATGGAATGTTGCTATATTAGACAGGATACCAGGTTAATTTCAGGAAAGGTTTAGGAAATATTAAGTTTAGGTCTGAGCTAGGCATAAGTTGGGGTTTGGTTAACCTAATTAGGGAGATATTAGGATTGACTAGGGATAGATCCAAGTTAACGAGTTAAATTAGGGGACCAGATTTACCCTTTAGCGTGACTGCTATTTCTAGGGTCACCGCGGCTTTCATGCCTCTTCAGTTGTCTAAAGTTGAATCTTACCTTAAGACACAGGGCCTAGATATCACTATGGAAGCAACATTTACTGCTACAGACTAATAAGAACTCTGAAGTAATTCAAATAAATGCCTATTAAAGATAATATATGGTAATTCGCAAATGCAAACAGTGTATTTCATAGTATTTAACACGAAGAAAACTGGTGTACTCAGCACACACACAAAATCGAAGACTTAGAAGCGAAAACCGACAAACTGGCCGAAGAAGCAGTCAGAGAAGACAGGACTCCATGTGAACATAGACAAGACGGAGGTTATGATAAAAACCAACCAACAACAAAAAATAACCAACAGCAACATCCAGGGTCAATCACCATCAACGGAAGGGATTTGAAAGAGGTCACTTCATTCACTCACTTATCTAGCATTGAGCATTGTCTCAACTACAGGAAGTCGGAACGGACGAGGATGTCAAATCGAGGGGGAATCGGAAAGCGATCGAGAAACACATTCATCAACCTGAAATCAATCCGGAAATCTTCGTCACTCAGCCAGCATAAACAACAAAATTCGGTCGGATTTTAAATACAAACGTGGTCAAGTCAGTCAGTTCTTCTATACGGATCAAAAACTTGGCGAGCGGGCGGGTCACAAAGAATATTTCCAACAGCCTGTTGCAGACGTTACCTTCATCAACCAACAACTGTCTTCGCTGGATCTATACTGAAGATCACCAACAAGAGACTGTGGGAACAAACAAAAGAAGAACTAGTCAGTCGGCCAACAAATATGGAGGAGAAAGTGGATGGAGATGGATTGGACATTCACTCGCTGGGGAGACCGCTGGGTGACATCGCGCGTCAAGCCCTCGAGTGGGACCCGAAAGGGAAGCACGCGGCGAGTGGGACGTCAGTGCAAGGGTGACATGGAGGAGATCGTGTGAAGAGGAGTTAGTTGAAACAGTTTGGACTAACATGGATGGACGCAGGTGAAAAGTACGACAGAAGGAAGACAGAAGTGGCAAGTGGAGACTTGCAGTTCAAGCCCTATGTTCTACTAGGAACCCAAAGCAGCAATAATATTATTAGTGAAGCAAAACAATGTAGCTCACCTTTCATTCCTAACAGCTGTAATAATTCGCGTTTTGTAAAATCAATATAGTATGAAATAGTAAAACAACATTGAATATTTTTTTCTGTAACAATTTGTTTGAATGTGAAGCATTTTTATTTTATAAATATGTGTAATAACAATAGTAATAATAATAACAAGTGTTAAATGTGATCACAATGTGTGTGTGTTCAAGTTGTCAATGTTGTGTGTTTATCTACGTCAACATCAAGGACAACTCGATAAAATCGATAACTCGATAAAAATCGTTAGATAGACAGGCAGACAGTCGGGCAAACGGATGGATAGATAGACAGAGAGACAGGTCAATTTAATTTACATATACACACACATATATTATATTAGAAAATAAGATGAAATCAGATCAAAATCAGACGGGCAAAAAGAAGAAGATTCAGAAAAGAAACCAAAAAAAAGAAAAACAAATCAAAACGAAATTAAATTATCTCTAAGCTTTGTAATATTTGTAATATGCAACGTCTGTATTCCAACAAATATCACGGTTAATCTCAGATTAGTGTTGCTCTTGTTGTCGTTGTTGTTATGTGTGTTGAGGTAGTGTTAGTGAGATGAAAAGGTTTTGCTTCCCTTTCACAAATAAGGAAAGAAATACAAAATGAAAAATAAGCAATTGTATTTTTAAATTACTACTAAATTTTTTTTTGTAATCGCTCTAGGATTCGTCCTCTGATTGTAAAATGTACTAAAATTTGGAAATGTAGCGATAAGGAAGAGTAAACAAAAATGTCAAAAAAGTAAACTCTGTGCAATAGAAGTTCAATGTCTTGAAGAACTAACTAACTAGTCTCTCTTTTTTCATGACTAGTTACTGAAATGCTCGAAAAGCGAAGCCATGCAGTTGACAATCAATATATTGGACAATACAATGAGAAGAGTAAAATATAAGTAGAAACGAAAAAATAGTAGAATAAAATACTAGGAAAATGGTGAACAAATAGCATTTATTGATTTATATTTTTATTTCACAGATAGTTAAGATTGCTGAAAGACCTGAACACTGTCGGTGTGTGTGTGTGGCGGGATAGGGGATGGGGGAGGGGGTATATTTGTGTTTTTATTTAATAGACTACATCGTTTTACACTAAATATTATCTGACTACTTATTACTCTCTTAGTAAGCAATTGTGCGTCTGTGTGTAAAGCAACTGGGTAGGTATTTACCTCCCATGGGCATACATGTGTAGAATCTTGAGTAAGTCTGTGAAGAATACATGTGTGCGTCTTTTAGCTAGAATACGGCGCTGATCACAGTTATCTCTGTTTTTTTAATATACATATACAGTGTATTATGTCATTGTTTATGAATACGATTCACAGCGGGTAATTTCATTGGGATAAATATACTCTCATAAGAGGTTAATTCTTTAAACATTTGTGTAAATAACATTGGATCAGCGTTAATACGTAGCATATCTGAAGATTTCTCATTAACAACACGTATTACATATTGCCAAAAACGATTACGTACTTCATCGATAACTTTAGATTTTAAACAACTTTCAATGCTGGTGCCTGTCGTTGCTCCTGTTCCTCCTCCTGTCCCTGAACCTGAGGTTATACCATGCTCTGTTGTATTCAATAAAGACTTTTTAGTATTACTATCTGAATGAGATATCAACTGATTGGCTTCAGCGATAAGGAATGGTCTTAGCGGGTAACTAATCTCATTACCAATATATGAATAGGCTAAATAAAGACAAGCCATAATAATTGTGTGTAATTCTCGTTCAGTATGAATATTATGATCATTTTCAATAAATGTTTTTAACATCATATATAAAAAGACAATATGTGTAGGATTGATAAAAGCTACTTCAGACCAACCTTGTAAGATAAGAGCACGATCAATTGATCGTATCCATGCAACAATAATTGATGGTTGAATGTTATGCAAATTTGAATTTGAATTATGCAAACGTTTTGAATTGTCGGTTAAATTTAGCTGGATACGGGAAACAATAAAAAATGATAAATATTTTAATAATTCACCTGTACTCGCTTTGAATATTGGCTGTCGAAAGAAATTACACATATTCGATGTTATCGTGGTCCCTGTTGTGGTTGTTGACGTTGTTGTTGTTGCCGCTGGTGTAGTTGTTGCTGTCGTAGAAGTTGCTGTATTACCCGTCACCGCAATTGTTGCATTCATCATAGAATTATTCAATTCATAATAATATCTTTCATTATGACCACAATTTCTAAAATACATTATATTTGAATTTTTATCGATTTTATGATCAGATTTTAAATTTTCAAATAATCCATAAATTCCACTAGTTTTACTGATTGCTTTTCGATAATTGAAACATTTAACACGATCAGTTGATTGAGCATCACTATTTCGATATTGTATAGTTGAATTACTATTGCTCATACTTGTTTTATTTGTTGATGTCAGTGTGTCCACCGGCATCAGGCTACTTTCATTCATCTGTTGATGATATCCTTTCAATGTTCCAATATCACGTTGTGAAGAGTTGCGTTTTATGCGATCACTTGTTTTTCTTTCAGCGCGTTGTTTAAACATTTTCCTATCATAGACTATATCATTTGTTCGAAAAGAAGATTTTGTTAAACCTGTTGATTCAACAGAAAGTTTTTTACACTTTTGTTGACATGAATTATTAGTATTATTATTAGTATTATTCGTGGTAGCAACAGTATTACTATGATGACTGAAAAGTTTTAAAGCATAACATGATATTGATTTTGTTATACTTCGATATTTATCAAATCCTATAATTCCTGTTTTTCGTTGTACATGTATAGGCGATTCAGGACAGATTAAATCCTCACCGAATTCAGTTAAACGTCTACCAAATTTACTTGATAATTGAATATATTTTCCATGAATGGTATTCCCATTCCCCATTCCATTGTTGTTGTCATTGTTATTAGTGTTAGGTATATCCAATAAATCAGGTGTTAACCGCTCACTTACACAACCAGACTGTAGACGATTTGAATTAGTCGTCGTAGTGCCAGTTATTATTGAAGTAGAAGAAGGACATAAGCTAACAGGAAGCGGTAAAATATGCTCTTTTTCGACTGACAAGGTAGAATTCCCTCTCATTCTGTGATTGTCATAATTATAATAAACAGGGAATGGTATATCATAAGTGCTACAACTACGTGCTCCTGGAGAGATGTCCTTTCGATTCCATGGGGGATTATCATTGCCAGTATTATGATTACTGGGATTTTGATAACGTTGTTGTTCATGGGCATATTGATAAATTGGATAAGGTTGTACATGGTATTGTGGATAATATGGATCCATTGGTGATGATTTATCATGGTGGCCTTGATGACTAGGCATTGTTCCGGCCTCGCATACATTCAGTGTCGCTGGGGGATATGCGTAATTACTATTCTGAAAGTTTTGCCCCTCCTTATTATTATTACTATTATTATTATTATCAATAAAAGAATACGGCGAACTATTTACACATAATTGTTCATTAGAATCTTTTCTATGCAAAGATTTAAACTTTGTTGGACATCTTAAATCAATAAGACTTGGAGTATAAGAGACTGTAGTACTGAAATGACCACCAGTTATATTCATTTTAGTAGTAATGTTGTTGTCATGACGACGAGGTTGATGATAATATTGTGGATTATGGTGTGTAGGACAACATTTTCCATTGATATCTCTTGATAAACAATGTGAATAACGATGTTTTAGTCGAGAATTTGGTTCAGATAATTGTCTACGTTGTCCATAATACTCCTCTGGCAGATGTGTTGAATCTTTTTGTTGAATGAATGAGGTATTGAAGTTAGTGAGTGATTTTTGTCCAGACGAAGAAAAGGTTTGATATTCACGAGTTATGCTGTCAGTCATAACATCATTTGAATTAAACCAATAAGGATTTTGTGATGATATACCGGAAGTTTGTGTATAAGGGATTGGTCTTAAACCAGTAGGCATCGAGATTTTCGTGGAATCATCACCATCTCCATCACTACCAGAGTAATGGAATTGTTGTGGAGTCTGTTGTTGTTGGTGATGCCGCTGTTGTTCTTGCTGCTGATAATAATAGATAGGAATTTCAATTGTTGACCGACTTGTTGAATTTCCCAAATATCTTCTACATTCCATCTGATGATCCCCTGAATCCATAGGATTACTTCGATCCGAGGCTATAGATAATCGTTGTAATCGTTCATTTGTCATTTGCATACTCGGTAGGATACCATTACAACTATCAGCAACTTTTGTTTTACGTGACAGACTTGAAATGATTAAACGTTTCAAACTGAACATGTTATTACTCCCTGAATTGATAGATTTATTTGACTCTATGAAGGTGCTATCATTATGACTGTTATTATTATTATTATTAGTAGTAGTATTAGCATCGGATATCAATTCATAAGACTTTGGAATCAATAAAGTTGTTTTAATAGGCTGTTTATTACTATTGTTCGCTTGTTTCTGTGTTGATTCACACAGATTATTGTATTGATAACCAGTTGTATTGTGTGCAAGTGAATATTTAAAGTCTTTTCTTCTATGAGAATCATTCAGTGTTGTTCGTCTTGGTGTAGCAAAAGAATATTGTACGGATTCATCGGTAGACAGAGCTGAAAGTACAGTTCCCATTATTATCAATATTGAAGTTCTATGATGTAATATTTTAATTTAAGCACAATTATCCTTCAAAACTCCAGTTGTCTTTATTGTTGGCATTGTGTGTGTGTGTGTGTCAAGTTGTAATGACTCAATACAGGTTATTGATCCTTCAATGAAGAAAGAAACGCGTATTCGACTACATATTACATCACATTGAATAAACGTAGATGTCATCTGTTTCTAGAATACTCCCAATGCAGCATGCTGCCTTGTTTTTGTATTTTTAAGAAGTTAATATTACCATCTTTCTGCTTTTGTTTTACTCTTGATCGATATTTCTCAAATATTTTTTGCAGAATTGTAAATAAGGACTAGCAAAATAGGAAGAATATATTACAATTGCTACTAACCTTTATGAGAACTGACTTGAAAACAACAGCAAAAAGAAGAGCAAGAAGAAGGAGAAGAATCTAATAGCGCGCATTGAATAAAAATTTGCCCACCTCCACATCCTCCTCTCCTGTCTATAACTAACTAACTCACTAACTGGAATATATTCATATTTGTGTGTGTGTCTCTGTGTCTGTGTGTACCTGTGTATGTGTGTTTCTTGAGTAGACACATTTATCTATTTATTTATTTATTCTACTAACACACAACTCACAATTATTCCTGCATACTGTCCTACTCTCTCTCTCTCTTCTTGCTTGCTCTTGCAAAATTTACCTGTAATCAGGGTCTGCCTTCAATAAGAATAATAATAATCAATACGAGGGATGTTACAGCTAAAGCCAAAATATCCTTGGGAAGAGCGAGCGAGAGAGAGCAAAAGGGTTACGCCCACACAATTGAGTAAATTGATTGGTAGATTAGTTTATTCTTTCTTTTGATTATATTTTTTGGTCACGTGAATTATTATAGCCTTTCCCTAATCGCCCTGTAACCGCATATCTATGCATATATATATATATATATATATATATATATATATATATAAAGAATGAAACTGTGGAGTGTCCCAACTTTCCATCTATTATCCTGTCCGTCCATCCCCATTTAGGGTGTGTGTGTATGTGTATACGTGTGTGTGTCTGTGCTCTGGCTTCCTCACTCGTTGAGTTCATTCACTAAAACCCTGAGATTGACATAGTCTATCCAACTGAAGTTCTATTACATAAAAAGAGGGAATATTCATCAAATATAACATGTTAACTTAGAAAAGCATTTCTATGAAGTCGGCTTTATCTGTCTCCCTTTATTTATGTTTTCATTATAGCATATGGATTATTCATCATGACAGATATTACGCGGTGATTTCTGATGACATATGTGCATCTGGACTGAAATCATTAATCTTATTTGAGTATGTGGCCTCTTTGAACGGATGTCTTGATATTTTAACAGGAGTATTAACTTGTAGTTACTTGTCTGTGTGTCGCGGTGGATCAATGACATTATTATTATCATTATTACTGTTCCCTTGGGTTCCGAGTGGAACATAGGGCCTCAGCAGCACATCTCTCTCAGATCCTCTTCAGCTGACCTGAAGATTGCCCAGAGTCTCTCATCTCCTCCTTACACGATCTCTTCCATGTCACGTTCAGACGCTCCACTCGTTGTTTCTCATTAAGGTTCCAATTGAGAAGGTTCCGGAGGCCATTAGATGGTCTCCACAGTATGCGTCCGATCCACCTCCATTTTCTTCCGCATATTTATTGGGCCAACAGTAGGTTCTTCATTGATTCGTTCCCATAGTTTCTTGTTGCCGATTCTTTCCAGTCATTTGATCTTCAATATGGAGTGAAGGTAGATGTTGACAGAAAATATACAACTTATGAGAAATACTTCTCCTGAGGTGCCAAGTTTCTGAATCATACAGAGGAAGTGAAGATCAGTGATAGAGTGCTTGCTAATCATACACGTGGTCCATGGTTCAATTGTCGACTGACGCATTCCTAAACCTCTCCCGTCTTACTAGCCGACGAAAAGACGGGAGAAAAAGGAAGGTTGGCATGAGGCCAGCCAACCCATTCTGTAAAAGCAATACCATGGGTATTAAAACTTCAAGGCTTCAGCCGTCATGTTCTATGTTCCACTTAGAACGCGAAGGAATGAATGACCACCAGTTAGTATTGGTTCTCCCACTAGAACTCTAACTCCACGTACCCATCAGTTTAAATGCCAAAGTGTTTTTCATCAGGAAACAAGAGTCACCTCTGTGTACAAGGAGCATGCTTTGATTTTTGAGTGGTGACTAGCACAGATTTGATCGGATACAGGTTTGATCACAAGTTCACATCAGCTAGAGAGCAACTGAAAACTGTATATCTCTGGACGTCTTTGGAGTAGACGTGATATCCGACTGTCGACCAAAGGGTGTGTGTACTGCTCATCAGCCCACTCCGTCTTCCTTTATGGCTGTCAAACCTGGCCATTGAGAGTGGGAGACATGAAAAGCTTGGCTAGCTGTTTTTGATCATGGAAGCCTGCGTTCTATCTCCCGTGTGAAGTAGGATAATAAGGTGAGCAACATTGAGTTTAGGCACCCGTCAAGTGCTAGGTAAGGAGGGGAAATCAATCGACGAGGTCATAAAATCGCATCGACTGAGATGGTTAGTACATGTGTTACGCATGCATGCCTAGTCATCGCCTTCCTCGACAGACGGGCAATGTTAGCTGATATAGGGTCAGGCTGGAAAAGAGCTAGCGGTGGTCTAACCAAAATATGGCACCAGTCAATGAAATCTACAACAGTTAGTTCCAAATGGCTGGCGCAGATGCATCCACTCCTTTTGACTTATGATTTCCAATGAAAATATATTGTTCTTTGTTATTACTATTCCTTTGTCTCACACCTCTGTTTACTGTCTCTAATATGCATTTCTTCTACATTCTTTTCTTGCTTTGTGTGCTACATGGAGTGTGGCGACTTGAACTGGCGCACATATGTGCAAAGTTCTATGTCGAAAACAGACAGACAGACATATCTCTGGAAAGTATTGACGAGCCTCATAGCCGTCAATTTCTGTTGACTTAGTGAAACAGTACAAAAGAATAAGACTAAATTAACGTCCTACATTTTACTCCTAGCTACTATCAAACAAATATTTATAGAGTCATGTGACTGTCCTGTTTTTCCTATGCTGATCAACACATGGTTTAAAGTTTTCCCGCCAATTCCTCGTTCACTTGTATGTGTAGGTGTGTATTTGTTCTAAAGCTAAAACTAAGTAACTTTTCATTATTATTTGGTTTAGAATGACTGGGTAACTGATACTGATAGGTCTATAATGTCAGTTCTCTAGAATTAAGTGTGGTTTCCGCTTAAACACTAACGAAAACCACCGACTCTTTCACGACAGCTCAACAGAATTCCATTCTACTTTTTATATGGTATGACTTGATAGTGACGTTTATCGATTTTCTAAGTAATTATCCTGATAACTATGTCATAGACCATGAACAGACTTCAATCGTAGAGAATCGTAGAAAACCAAGAATTAGTGGAGGACGGCTGTTTCATTCTACTTTGACGCTTTTCAACAGTATGCATTCATTACTCCATCAGCGGTCGAATCCAGGACACTAAGGTTACAAGGGGATTTTGTTGACCATTCAGTAGCTGGGAAAGCATCCATAGGCCGATTTGAAAATTATTCTAGGCACCAGGATTTCCTTGTGGGATGTCGTAACCGGAGGAGTCTACCAAGCTGAGGATAAATATTTACTTATAACACTGGCTGGCAGTTGCTCTATTTATACCAAATTGTAACTGGATTCCATCCGTGGGACTGAATAGCTACTCAGCTTGACTCGTAACGTGAAAGTCACAAGTGTTTACTGATGAAGAGTCACAGACCAGGATGAAACAGCTGTGTCAGTACTCCCTGGTGGTTATCAACGGCTCTCTATTTGAAGTCAGTTCTCAATCGAACTTGAAATTGATCAAATCATTGGTTTCTTCTATTTTTTACATAACTCTTCTCGTGACTAACTTACTATCCTGAGTTATTTGTGTATCGCCTTCTCTTTTATTTTTATTTTTGATTGCAGCTTGATTCCACAACGTATTTTCGGTACAAGTATGGAATTTGCAGCATGGATATCGGTAGCCCATATTTTGCAGGCCAACCATAGATATCAGGTGTTCGTCGGCAGCGGATCTTATCTCAGACCATTGTGCATGGTCGGCGAGAATCCTAACCACTGTGCCACAGGCGCAGTTCTTTTGGGTTCCTAGTGGAACATACGGCCTCAACTGCGCATCTCCACTTGCTTCTGTCTTCCTTCTGCTGTACTTTTCACCTGCATCCATGTTTGTCCATACTCTCTCAACTCCTCTTCACACGATCTCCTTCATGCCATCCTCCCTTGCACTGACGTCCCACTCGCTGCGTGCTTCCCTTTCGGGTTCCACTCGAGGGCCTGACGCGTGATGTCACCCGGCGGCCTCCTCAGTGAGTGAGTGTCCAATCCATCTCCATTCACTTTCTCCTCCATATTTGTTGGCCGATTGACTAGTTCTTGCTTTGTTTGTTCCCCACCATAGTTTCTTGTTGGTGATTCTTTCCGGCCCGGCCAGGCCATCTGATCTTCAGTATAGATCCAGCGAAGACAGTTGCTGGTTGATAAAGGTAACGTCTGCAACAGGCTGCTGGAAATATTCTTTGTGACCCGCCAAGTTTCTCATCCGATCCGTATAGAAGAACTGACTGACTTGACCACGTTTGTATTGAAAATCCGACCGAGTTTTGTTGTTGATGCTGAGTTGAGTGACGAAGATTTCCAGATTGGTTTGTTTCAGGTTGATGATGAATGTGTTTCTCGCTCGCCTTCTCGATTCTCGATTCTATTTTGATAATAACTGATTATTGTAGTTTCCTGAAGAATTTGTTCATTGTCTTCCTTGTAACTGTTTTCCCGCCCTAATAAATGAACTGACTACCTAGTTAAAGTATGTCGAAAATTACGTAATATTGATTACATTGGTGTATTTCATTATGCAGGTTATTTGTAGCCAACAAAATCCTTATGAAACATTAAAGTCAATTCATCTTATGCCTTAAAATCTCTTCTTATTAAATTATTCAAAAGTTACAGGTTTGATCACAAGTTGAGATCAGTTGTTACAGAACCACTGAAAGCCAGGGAGTACTAAAAGACAGCTGTTTCATCCTTGTTTGGGACTCATCAGTCAAACTTGAAAAAAATCAACTCTTGAAAATTAATCTGATGCCCGCTAGTGACTGGCTACATGGCTGAATTTTCTGGAGTTCTAGTGGAAAGTCGCGATCGGCAGTAGGGTCCACTAGGTTGGGGGTGAGGACAAATGCTTGCCAGCGATCACACTGGTTGATGCCGAAAACCGCGAATCGCTAAAAGTTAGAATTCATGGGTTGGCCACTGAGTCGGGTCTCATTGGCTGAATGGTCTACTAGCTTTTCTTGTAACCGGAAGATCCTGGGTTCGAACATCAGTTCATGCGAATTGCTGGTGAGCCCGGGGAGCCCGAATAGCTCAGTGGTAACGTCTTTGACTGCAGCACTGGGTGACGCGGGTTCGAATCTCGGAAGGGTGGACATGAGTTCCTTCAAGGTGACTGCAGATACGCCTTGCTGACTGGACTAGTGAGTGTCAACTAGCACGAAACCTAGGTCCAAGGCTTCCTGTGGCCGACCGCCTCCAACTATC